GGATATTCTTCGTCCCTATGATATCTTGGTGCACTTTCCTCCCTGTTATCCTTATAGACTAACAGACAGTTGCAGGCTGCTTCTTGAGTACGTCCACATAGCTGTCTACTCGGGAGGCAAGAAAGCTGCGGCCCTCATTAAGTATATCCTATGATCTATTACGAGGATGGTTGCCGACTTCACCCGTTGACTATGAAACACGTTTAGGAATACTCGTGCCATTTCCTCTAAGCGGTCGTCCCCTACAGAGAAGCCTGATGTCTGTGCCTTGTGTGAGCAAGGTTTAGTCGATGATTTCTATACTGCTGACCCCACAAATACTCTGCAGGGACACGGTAAGAGGCGTTAAAAGCTTAGAGCAGCGCCATTGTTAGAGTCTCATTCCTGGTAGGAGGGCGAGATGGTTCACTGCTTAGAGCGCGCGTTTACTGGTCCGAAAGTCCGTGCTACGAACCCGACCTCTGCATCTCGACTTCTGGCAGTATTCCAACCCTCATGCTTCTTTCGGATTGCATGGCAGGTAGACACCGAAAGGGTGTTATGGCTGAACGATTATTTTTTCATTATCTCTGTATCGGGCAGAAGCACAAGTGTAACCGGTCGGTCGACAGGATAGTGATGTAGACGCCATTCTGACGACCGAGATAGTTAGGTAAATCTTCCAATTATATAGGTTCACGACGTTAGAATTAATGAAACTACAAGAACTTTCTCTATCGACTAGAGCACGGAAAGCTGAGCCATTGACTTCGATAGTTGTGACGGAACGTGCTAGGCAGGTAGGTGTAGCTGCAACGAATAATGACGATAAATAGGCTTAATTGTACAATTTGTATGGAACTTAGTCGTACTTTTCGGACGGCACACGCGGCGAAAGTGACCGCGTTTGTCATATAGATTACAAACGGCTTCTCAAGGGGGACACTTTGAATGAGGGTGTCTATCATAACCACAAAAATAGAATGGTTGGACGGATTTCACAGAAGCCGTGGTCGACATAGTTCGGGATTCTATGAACTGGGCGGAATCTTGGAGCAGGATATAGGTTCGTTACTTACATATGACCGCGAGGGATCTAGCAAGCTGATATGCTTGGTCCAGAACGAGTTGGCTTTGTATTAGAAGTTTTCCGCGGATGGACGTGGACACCAGGTTGTTAATTATGGCATCATGCACGCGCTCATCTTAATATTCAGTGGCACCTACTGATTTAAACTCAGTCTTTGGTTAGTGATTTGGGTTTTGGTACGAACTGATCAATATCCAGTCCGTTCTCTTGCTTGCTTGTAGGTATGCAGCAGGTAGCGTGCATATGTGACATTTTTGCGCGGACAAATGAATTTCGTCATGTGTTGATCGCAGATACATAGCCAATGTAATCAGCAATGTGATTGTATACCAGCGGATGCAAAAATTGGAGGAGGGTTTCAAGTTTGTCGGGTTTAGATGATTCGGCAGTTTTCAAAAGGTGTCGGAGGTACGAAACCAGTGACTCCAGCGTTCTGCTGCACCTGCGGAGTTCGGTTCATCGTCGACAAGTTTGTCTTAGATGATTCGGCAGTTTTCAAAAGGTGTCGGAGGTACGAAACCAGTGACTCCAGCGTTCTGCTGCACCTGCGGAGTTCGGTTCATCGTCGAAGAACCGAGTCATAGCTTCGGATCCGTTGTATTCTTAGACAAGTAAATTGCGACGTTTAAAATGTGGCCGAGAACGAGTTAGAAGAGAGTTCAGGTTATCGAAGATGATGTCCAAGAACACGCGTGTACATACATAGGTTCAATAGAAGTATACAGAGGAAGTATAATAGAAAGCAGACAAAGATCATTATGAGTGCTCAGACATGTCATGTAACACCTGCCAATCACCCACCGCCGATCAGGCAGCCTCGATTCGAGGTAAAGATTGCACTTCAAGTACCGCAGTGCCCCTCGTAATTTTTTAGCTCTCGCCTGTTCTCAATAAAGCGGTTCTACTCCCTGTTGGTTAGTCTCTTTCCGATGCTAGGGTACTGGAGCGGTTACTCACAACGGATTCAATTAATGTCAATGCCAACTGATCAGTTTTGGAGTCGATGCTCGACTTATGTATAGTGGGGGAGCGACTGCTTCGCTTGTGTGCTGTTCATCGTTTTTTCCTGGTCAGTACGAACTTTCATCACAAACGTTCACATCCAGTTACGTGGAGATCACCAACCGCAAGCTAGTCATGAACTCAATTGGACTGCTTGCCGCTGGAAAAACTATTACAATTTGTGTGCTTTTTTTAGTACACAACTTCACTCTGACCATGCTATTGTACGGGCTGGGTTATCACTTCGCTTTCATTATTAGGCGCGCCAAAACAGAGCAGTTCCACTCGTCAACTTCTACAAGTTTCAGTATCTCAAGAGCATCGAGTTGATCTGGCTAGAAAAATACTGGAAGTGCACAGTCATGCGGATGACGGAGATTGCTTGGAGGTTGAATAGAAATGGGTTAAAAGACCTACGGTCTGAGCTTTCAGGACTGTTTGTCCAAACCATGTGACCCGATCAAATGAACACTGGATACAGTCGAGATCAGCAGATCTTGTTGCTGCCAGAAAGGCCATACCAGTAACTAGCGACTATGATGGCGCACGCGGGTCCCCAAACACCGGATAATCAGGAGCTTGAAGAATGATAGAGAACGCTGGTGAATTTCAAAGACTCAGGACACGGAGAAGGCTTTTGCTGCAAGCAACAGCCGTGTCATATTTCAACTGATCCGACCAACCAGTCAAATGAAGGTAGTTATCCAAAACTTTGACACTGAGAGCTGAAAACGGAAGAAAGTGATTTAGCAATAAATGATGAAACGTTTGAAAAACAGAGCAAATATACAACATTGCAACCCAACGAGCCTGAATGGAACATGGGCACCAACCAAGCGGACACCAAGATGAAGGATTATATTATTCAGTCGTTGAAAGAAGCGGCGATTGTTCGATATCAGTGGCGTTCGTTCTGCCAGTTTCTTCAGATAGTCTGATCGAGCGCTTAGAGGTGTAGACACCTCAGAACGCTTGCGATAGGTTTCTTCAGATTGATCGAGCGCTTAGAGGTGTAGACACCTCAGAACGCTTGCGATAGGTGAGCACTAAGCCACGGTTACATTCGCTTTCCCTCCCTTCCTCCTTAACGGTTCATGTTTAGTTAAACAAATCTTGTGGCCGTAGGGCTGTGGTGTATCAGTTTCAACACTGATGCTGCTGTCTCTGATGATGATCTGTATATGTGCTTCGGCATATATGCTAGCCGAAGCAGCAATAAAGGGGTGTCAATGTATGACAGCGTGTCGTGTTTTTCGTAGTCCATAGAAAAACCAATCTGTCAATTCTCTAAAACAGACTCGGGAACTACGATGCCAACATATATGCAGTAAACCGAACCGGGAAACAGCAGAATGTACTAAGCCGACCCAAATTTCAGTGGACAAAACAAAGCGCATTAGGACATACAAACACGGAGGAAAATTAGCCATCAGAGGATCAAATGACAAAACCAGTGTAGATTGCGAAAAGGGAAAAGTTCCTTATGAACCTGTTAAGACTTGCAACATCAGACCTCAACACAACGGGGATGGTAGATGGACCAATCCACTAAATGCTGCCAAAAGGTAGGAGGTGTTCAGCTAACTAGTCAAATGACAAGAAGATGGGCCGGAGCGCAAGATATGAGAAGCTCAGATCGGACAATCGGGACAAAGCAACATACCTAATCAGAGATATATTCAACCGACGAATCAAATGCAAGTACATCAGATCGCAGTGCAATACAAATTCCAGACGGACCAATCAGCTTCCATGCGAGTCAAGCTTCGAACAATCAGCCATTTAGATAACACCTGCTTTATGGGATCTGTATAAACGCAGTTAGATAGAGGAAATAGCAACCCAGCCGCGCACCAGCGATATCCGTTATAATCGCAAAACGTTTGCTGGCCAGTTGACAAGTCCGGCGAACGAATCAATGGCTGCTTGTTTAAGAATATGCGCTACCCGACCTAAAGCTGACACCTTGGCGTGGTGGTCGGGCTTGATGGCTGCAATGATCCCGCGAGCTACACTGGCTGGAACTTCGTTCCACAAGTTGCAACCATGCCAGGAAGGCCAAAGTGGAGCAGCCAGACCAAGAGCAGCGAGACCCCGCACTACGAGTAATCGTGATACGAGGCTGTCTGGGGGTAAAGTCGTACTGTCCTCTGCGACAGGAGTGTGAAGGCGGTAAGGTGTTTCCCCCAGGCGACCAGCATGTCCATATAGAAGCAGCGATTCTGACTTCCCCTGAGGAAGGGCGGGTTAGAAAAGGTCGGCCCCAAAAACCGCAAACTCCGATCGCCCAACGGTTGACCGTGACCGCCGGCGCATTATCCAGTACGGTCGAAATACTTTTAAAGCCAAAGAGCCCGGTGCTGCTCAAAAGGCACCTGCTGTACCGCAGCCGCATCAGGAATGAGGCAGTAATACCTTATTCCCTGCGCCGTCGGGTCAGGCCAGCTCCCTGCAGCCGAGCAGGTCAGACTATTGAATCGTCGTCTCCGGGGAGGGTCTCCAAAGAAAACCCTACACTCTCCCACTGCCTTGTGGGTCAGACTTTTGAGTCGAAGGCTCAAGGTGGGGTACCTCAACCAAACCCCCTTTCCCGGCCTGGGCAACCGGGAAGTATCATTTGCCCGCGCAGTTCAGCGTCCATCGATGTCCCTCCCCTTCCCAGTGCACAGGCAAACGTCGCTGGGCCATTTGACTGTCAGTCATCTGACCCTTAGGCTCCTCGCTGCCTACAAAGGTTAAACCAAATAACACCTTCCTAAATCCACGAGATCCTTTCTATATAGGAGCTTTTAACGTTCGTACTCTATGTCAAATTGGCAAACAGGCAATGCTTGCTGAAACCTTGTGCTCCCTTAAAATCGATGTATGCTGTGTCTCCGAAACACGCATACAAAACCCGAGCGTGGTTATGCATCTCAGAACGCCAAGAATGAACTCAGCTCTCTCACACTTCTCCTTCAGTGTGTCCGGTGACCCAGAAGCGATGGCTCGTGGAATATATGGCGTGGGAGTTGCACTCAGCCCCAGAGCTGAACGCGCTTTGCTGGATTGGATCCCAGTGAACAGTCGTCTCTGCGCCGTCCGGCTATCCAGTTCAATCAAGCTCAATGCCTCGCGGAATAAAAAGCGGTGCCTGTTTGTCGTGTCGGCTTATGCCCCAACAGACTGCATTTCTGATGCGGAAAAGGATACTTTCTGTCGAGAGCTATCCGGGCTCATTCGTCAGGCAAAAAGCACTGACATTGTGATACTTGCAGGCGATTTGAATGCTCAAGTAGGTCGTCTGAGCTCCTTGGAATCACATTTGGGTGGTCGTTTCGGAGTCGATGCTCGCCGAACAGAAAACGGGGATCGCCTCCTTCAGCTGTGTGCTGATCACGAACTGTTTCTGGCAAGTACGAACTTTCAACATAAACGTTCGCACCGCGTAACCTGGCGGCCGCCAACTACAAATCAACCGTGGACCCAGTTGGACCACGTGGCCATCAGTCACCGGTGGAGAGCCACAACCCAAGACTGCCGTTCTTTCTGGGGCACACAACTTGACTCCGATCACGCCGTGGTGCGCGCACGCTTGACAGTTCGTTTCCCTTCAGGCCATTGCAAATCGGCAAGAAGCATACCAATCCACTGTCTTCGAAGAACTGCCGCAGCTCAACAGTATCGATCTGAGCTAGCCCAACAACTTTCCACAGTAAAACAATACTGTGGTGGCAGTGAGCATGTGGATGAAGCGTGGCGTTCAGTGCTGCCTGCCCGACTTCTCCAATTCGACCACGGGACCACTGGATGTCGTCGAGGTCGTCATCCATGATTGGTGCCAGGAAAGCCATACCGGCAGGCAACGAGTACGACGGTGTACGCAAATCCCTCAAACGCCAAATAGTGAAGAGTCTAAGGAAAGACCGAGAGCTCTGGTGGATATCGAGAGCTCGGGAGATGGAGAAGGCTTTTGCTACGGGAAACAGCCGTGCCCTTTATCAACT